TGTGCCTCGCTGCTGCAATTGCGTGCGAACATGGAATGCCCATGTACTGGAACTCCATGCATGTACATGTACGGGCATTCAAATCAACCGTCCTCAACATGAAACATGCACCAGTCGACTGGTTTGACTGTGTAGCGACGAGACTTCTCAAACTGTACTGCAAGTCGCTCTTCTGCATAGTCTGAATGAGAGGTGTTTTGGGTGGACCAGTGAATCCTTCTTTCGTGGAACCATCTCTGTAGCAATTCGCGGATGAACTCGACAATCTTAGTGATAGGTAACTCTCTAGCCTCTCGAAGGAGGGCATTTACCGACTCAGCGCTGTTTGTCGTCGTGTTTTCATATCTTCTACCAACTTGGTAGCATCGGGCCCACCGTTCTATCCCAATTTCTTGTAAGTATTTGGCAAGTGAACCCGATCCAATCGACAGTATCTGGTTCCAGTAGTACGTGAACTGTGACTTCCGATACGCATACGCTGCATCCTAATACAATTTGTAAAATGCAGCATTATTGAATCGAGACTTTATGTTGTTCCCTAGGTGATAAGTGCATATATCATGGAATGCGTCCGGGAATATCTCACTTGTTGCATTGGTGATACTTACATGTCGATCAGATATGAATACAAGTTCTTGTTGGTCTCCGATCATGTCCTTCAAGTTCTTGATAAACCACTTCCACGATGCATCGCTTTCGTTGTCTACAATTGCGAATGCAAGTGGATATATTTGATTATTCCCGTCCACGGCGACACCTATTAGTAGCACTCCTTTGAACTTCCCCTTCAAATGTGTGCCATCAACCATAATTACACGCCTTGTGATTGACTGAAACCCTCTAATGCTGGCACCCAATGCCATGAACAGGTATTTGAAGTTAAGCGAACCTTCAGTCTCGAGGTGGAAAATAGTACCTGGATTCTCTATTTTTATCGCTTCACCGTACGCATGGAGATGCATGTAGGAGTCCTTCGGTCTGCCCCTAACAATAGTGTATGCTAACTCTCGTGCTCGATGGGCCTTGTCATAACTTATGTTCACCCCGTACTCTTTACGGACATCCTCCTTAATATGCTTTATCTTGTAAATACGACCGGTTCCAGCAACTCCATCCTTAATAAGATTCGCTACGACCCAGCTGCTCGCTTGTTTGTGGTCGTGGTTCACACTGTCAATCGTGCAGGTGTGTGCATCTACATACTTTGATATACAAAATATCGAAGATTTACCGACGGAGTGGGCCGCAACCCTCCAATTGCATGTATTGTCAATGCAGCGAACATTGAATTTTGATTTCGTTGACCTACTGACCTTGTATTCACGATTAGATCGCATCGCTGCATTTGACAGCACCATACGTAGGTCTTGCTTTGAAACAAATATCTTCCCCACGTGCAGTTCCGATCCGCCTGGTAAAAGGTTGTACCTTTTGGCCTGTTCTATAGTCACGGTGCTTGGGGATTGAGGTACTGGTATTTGTTGACCAGCAACATTACGAGGGTCACTGGATGAGGGTTCTACTGTCAAAGGACTTGCATGTCGTACTTGTGATGTATTATTTAATTCATCAAATAGGAATACATGTACCGTACGAGGACTTGCATGTTGTACTTATGCTGTATTATTTATCTCATCTGATGAGACATGCATTACGGGAGACATGCGCGTCGCGGGGGCGACCAATTCCGAGTCTTGAGTGTATATACAGTCTGAACTGTACATGTCCTGCATGTATACGTCGTTCAACCCCCACTCATCTACCCTCGTGGAACCTTCTTCCGGTACAGATCCTCCATTAGGAATGGACTGCTCTCCATCTTGGTTTAATCTAGATGACTGTATGTCAATACTTTCGCGGGGGATAGTCGATACAAACAGTGGGACTTTAGAAACCTGTTCTTGGACTAATGCAAATCGGAGGTCATCGTCATCCGTTACGAACATTGGCGGTGAATCGCATGCCAAGTGGTAAGGTACCCTAATTACCAGGTCGTACCCATTTTGGTCGACTTTCATTAGTCTAAACAACCGATTTTTCAGTTCTTTGTACGTTACTGTAAGTGGGACAATTATTCCTTTTAGCTCACCACCGACATACGAATTTGTGTTGTCTTCCCACGTACCACCAAATCTTATGAATAAACTTTTACCAATCTCCATCCTGCATTATAGAAGGGGGACAGCATTTTAGATTATCGAACAAAACATGTAGGCCACAGAGTCCTCAAACGGTTGCTATTTAATACGTACTTGTCTAGTTCAATGAGTGTGGGATAGTTAAAAAAAACGTGACAGGGAATGTTGGTAAAAGTCTGATGTATTAATC